ATCAGAATATATTTGATCTAACTTAAGATTAATTTATTCTTTTATTTCTACTAGCTAATGTAAACTTAAATGTTCTGGGAGAGAAAGCCTGCACCACAATTACCATGTCTCTGAGAACTTGTTCTCTCTCTAGTTTCCTTTTGTGGCCTCTCTCTCTCTCTCTCCAAGATAACTTCTTGTAAACTATATTAAGTAGATTTACATATATATATATATATATATGAAAAATAAGCTACTTGTTTCCCACTAAGGCATCCATTCATGACTCAGCCCTGAAGTCTCGTTGATGCAGCCACTTACATGTACAATTCAAAAGCATTCCAGTTCAAAAGAGATGAATCCCATGGTGGGAAGACTCTATTTTCTTCTCTTAAATTTCATTCATAGGCACTGTTTGTTTTAACAATTCCAGCCAAGTTTTATAGTGTAAAACTCACAGATGTAAAATTTCCAAGGAGCTCTATGTGGAAACATGAGTGAATGGATACCATGTTCTTATTTAGCCCAATTATTTGCCTCTTCTTTGAGGAAAGCAGCTGTCTGGCTGGCTGGACCCTTGCTCCAGCTCTGTCTGAAATATTTACATTTTCTGTAGTCACAGCCTCTTGGAGTAATGGGATCTATATTTTAGTGCCTGCTATATAAAGAGGTATTTTTTTAAATTTTTGTTAGCCCATCAGGCTTCATGAAATTCTGCTTTTTTTTAGAATGTGAGAAAATAATCTTTGGTTTTCTTCATCACTCTGAGACTTTTTTGTAAATGGAATCTTTTTTATTTTTACCACCATACATAAAGCTCTCTGCCCTTGATCATTTTTAGTCATTCTCTGGATCTTCTCTAGCTCTATTATATGTTCAAGAGGCTCAGAACAGAACCCGATAAATATCTACCATATAAAATATTCTGAGGCCAGGCACTCCTTCAAATACAGTCACCTCCTTTTTCTACAGTAATTCTCAGACAGGTTTTTGATAATTTCCTCTGACACATCTCCCAGACCTGTGCTTGGCAGAGACTGAACCTCATTTGAGAACTCATGGTTAGTTCCTCCATTTTCACATGAACGGAATCCGGCCAAAACAAAAGCCACACGTGATATTATAATCTTTCCTTCATCAAAATGTTTATTGGACATTGAGGCACCAAGCTAGGTATATGGTAGTTTCAAGTATTAGAAAGCAGCAGCCCTTACAAAACAGTCTAATCAGAGAAGACCCATAAATTTAAAATTATAATTATGAAATTAAATACATGCTGGATGTGGTGGCATGTGCCTATGATCCCAGCACTCTGGGAGGATGAGACAGGAGGATCACAAGTTCAGGCACAGCCTAGCCAACTGAAGGACTTAGCAAGACCCTGTGTCAAATTGAAAAATTAAAAGGGTTGGGGATATAGCTCAATGTAAAGACTCTAGGTTCAATTCCATACTACCACAGGAAAGAAAAAGAGAGAGAAAGAAAGAGAAAGAAACCAAATACTGTAATTTTATCTTTGACATGGATATAAGGGAAGAATGTTTTTGAAAATATTTGGAAGAGCCTGATGTGGTGATACAGCACTCTAGAAGGCTGAGGCAAGGGGACCAACAGTTTGAGCCCAGCCTGGGCAACTTAGTGATTTAGCAAGACTTTGTCTGAAAGTAAAGAATAAAAAAGGCTGGAAATGTAGCTCAATGTGAAGGCCCTAAATTCAATCTCCAGTACTGCAAAAAATTAATCAAACAGAGAATAATGATTTAAGATAATACTTGAGCCAGGTATGGTGGTGCACACCTGTGATCTCAGCTACCTGCGAGGCTGAGGCAGGAGGATGGGGAATTTGAGGTCAGCCTAGGCAACTTAGTGAGACTGTCTCAAAATAAAATAAAGAAGTCTGGGGTTGTAGCTCAGGGGTATTCCACTTGCCTGACATGCATGAGGCCCTGGGTTTAATCCAGTACCAAAAATAAAATGAAATGAAACTTGAACTTTACAGCTGTTGATATTTACTTGGCTTTTGCTCTGTACAGGCACTTTACTAAGTAGTTTGTATGTACTTTCTCCTTCAGTCTTTGCACTAGAGCTGGGGGTAGTTGTTATTATCTCTATTTTATGGATGAGAAAAATGCACTCAAGAGGTTAAGTAAGTTGCCCAGCATCCCAGCTAGCAAGCAGAGTCAGGCTTTGAATGAAGGAGTTGGACTCACATGCGAGGCTGCACTAGTAGAAAGGGGATGAAGGAGGAGGGGATTCTGGGGAAAAGCATCAGTACGACCAAAGGCTCAGAAATGTGGGAGCCCAGCAATAACTGGGTAAGGACACAAGGCAAAGGGCAGTGGAAGACAAAGTTGGGAAGTAAGAGGATTCCATGGTGATAGACTCAATGGTGGGGGGGGGTGTCTTCAAGAAATGTTGCCTATTTCTGTTTTTTTAGAAATAGATTATGGCAAATCATTAAAGGATTCAGAAAAGAAAGTACTGTACATGATCGGATGGTTGCCGAGAAAGATAATAGTGGCAGCATTTTGCGAGTAAATTACAGAGGAGCAAAGATGAAGCAACAGGGAGATTTTCAATGAGTATATTCTTAAAACCCTGGTAAGATGAGATGGAAGCCTGAGCCAAAATGTGACTGGTGGGAATGGAGAGAAGGGACAAATGGAAGTGACACAGAAAGAAGTAGAATCTAAGGTGCTCACAGACAGTATCAATGTGGCTATTGAGGGAGGTAAAGAAGGTGTTATAGGTTGGCACAGGCAAGTAGCTGTCAGTAATTGACATGAAGCCAGGCATGGTGGCGCATGCCTGGAGTCCCAGCACTTAGGAGGCTGAGGCAGGATTGCCATGAGTTAAAGGCCTATCTGGGCTACATAGTGAATTCAAGCCCAGCTGGAGCTACAGAGCAAGACGCTGCCTATCTCAAAAAAAAGAAAGAAAGAATCAAACTAAAATATAATAATGGACATAAGTAACAGGAGTGTCATATCAAACTGTATAATAGAAAGCCTTCCTTTTTTGTACACACACATAATATACTTTAATCATTTTTGCCCCATCACCCCCTTTTCCTATCTTCCCCCATACTTTCACATTTTGGGGGGCCTCAATGTGTGTAATGTATTTTTATAATATTCATCCCCTCAATTCTGTTTTGATTGCTGAAATAAATGAGGACTTTCTACCTTCTGAAAAGCTGAACTCTTCTGATACAATGTATCTTACATTGTCACTCAGGTCCAACAGTCTAGTCCCAAGGTCCTGCATCTTAGTTATCCAGTCTGACCCTGTTGCCATAACCGGATGGAACTGAAAACAGTCTTTCAACAAACTGAAAAAAGACATATTTAAAACCTGCATAGCCCGTGCTCTCCAAGTGAATAGACATTTTCAGTAGGCTTCCAAGAAAGAAGAAGGCCTTGTTACTCTCCCCAGGGAGCTGTAGGCTAACCAGGGAAATAAGACATGAAATCAAGAGTCAAAGTACAAGTCTTTATAATAAAATGCTAAATTATGAAGTCAATTTTATTCAGAAGAAATTGATATTATTGTTAGAATACCCAGGAAAGAGCATTTTATTGACCGTCTGCAGCCAAAATGCCACCCAAGTAGTACAGTATTCACCATTCTCAGGAGGATGAAGGAATGTGCCCAGTTCGCACCGTGGTTAAGTGGCAGAGCTGAGCAGGAGCAACGTCTCTGCTGGGGCTGCAGGAGAATCCATATCAGGAAGCCCGGCCTGCGTGAGTCACTCATCATCCCAGCCAACACATTCTGAATGGAGACGCGCCGTCCACACATCACTGCTGAGCCTTTGAAGCACTCCAGCTTGGCAATAAGCACACAAAGTTTCGTAATATTGGCGTAAACCTGGTACGATCAGTGACTGCTCATGGCCTTGAATAATCACTGCAAAACCATTCGGGTGAAGACACAGTGACTCAGCACCCTCCCTTCCCACCTCAGGACTTTCCGGAGTCCAAGGAGAAAGAAGGCCAGCTGAGCACTCTGATGGCTGCGCCACTGAGTCTCACTCCCCTCTGTCGTCCCAGTCCGCAGTGCTATTGGCAGGAAGGATGACACCTTAGCAGGATGATTTATGTGCAAGTTCCAAGTTGGCCAGTTTCCTGTCAGCAGAAGTTACTACTGTCTTCAAGCTGTCTGCCTACTTCTCATTCACAGCCATTCCCCTCGCAGCCGCGCAGTAGGCCCAGCCCGCTGACTCACACTGCTTAGAAGGACGACCTGGGCTGGGCTTCCCCAGAAAAGGCCAAGGCCAGAGCTGGCGGAGCAGTGTTGCAAGCCAGGAATTTTCTGGAGATTTCTGCAAAGTTCGGGAATCCAGGGCAGGGTTGCAATTTCCCTTCTGGTTTATTTTAAAGAGTTCTTGAAACACATCAGAAGTGACCTCATTTTTCCCAGTGGATTTCCCATTTATGAGAGCTGTGCCCTGTTAAGCTGTTTAATAATTTGAGATCGACACTGAAGACTACTTTGAGCTCAACTTTCACTTTCAATTTCAAATGTTATTTTGATATTTAATAAATATGAATTCAGCTTTTTGAGATGTGATTTTACATTTCACGAAATCCGTCCATTTTAAGTATATAATTTAATAATTTTAGTATATTTATAATTGCTCAAAAATCAATCATAATAAAAATTCAATATTTTTTTTCCAGTGGTAATGAGAATCCAATTCATGGGCAGTGTATTATGAGCTATGACCCTGGACCTTTTTTATTACTTTTTTAAAAGTTTGAAATGAGGCTTGCTAAATTGCTGGAGTGGATTTTTTTTTTTTTTTTTTTTTTTTTAAGGGGATTGAACTCAGGTCCTTGCACTTGTGCAGCAGGGGGCAAAACCACTGAGCTAAATCCCCTGGCCCAAGAAAACATTTTACTTAGTTTAGTTTTTTCCCCAGTGCTGGGGATCAAATGCAAGGCCTTTGGCCTGCTAAGGATGCACTCTACCACCAAGCCACATCCCCAGCCAAAATAATATTCTTTAAAATATGAGCTTGTTGGCCTGGAGGTGCGTGCCTGTAATCCCAGCACT